GATTACTATATAGCATTCTCTTTATTACATAGAGGAGTGCAAGTTTTTCATTGCGTTAAGAGTATGCAGCTTGTGGTTTGTAAAACCCAACGCAAATAGCATGGCAGATCAAGATCAAAATAGTGTGGGAATTGGAAATATGTTTTAAAAAATCAAATATACCTTTGTGCATAATATTTGAAGTAGAAGTTTATTTATCACCCAGTGAATGCAAGAATGAATATTTTTGTACAGAACTTCTATGACGTATATTTGGGTTTATGAGGAAACTGAAAGTCGGCCACTAAAGCTGCTAAAATTCGTATTGAAAAGTTCAGAAGATAGTATGGCAAGCATATGTTTGCCTTCGATAAGTGCTTGCCAATTCTTTCAAATTTATATCTTCATGTAACCGAATAAAATATACGCAGGAAGTTCAAAAAATCGTGCGATTGTCATGCTGAGAGAGTAAACAAATTTTCGGTAGACAATCTGATCAGCTTTGTGACCGCCAGAAAAAGCTAATTAACTGTAAACGACTGAACTGGCGGTCGTTGACCAGGGTAACTGCGGCACCTTTATGAATTTTCTTTGGACGCACAGGAGAGGTTTGAGTAACCCGATTTTATCTGATTCTGCTGTAGCCAACAGATGCTCCCCAAGGAATTGTTAAAAGCTCGGGGATTTTGTAAGGTATTCTGTTTATCCAGCCAATTTTTTGTATGTGATCAAAATTGAAGGAATGCAAAAGTCCGCATCCTCGCCTGAGTGAAATATCTTGAAATAAAGTTGTACGATACTCAGTATTATAACCTAAGTTAATGAGTCTTTCCACCAACATAAACTCCTGTTTCTCAGGCAACTGATAACTGTTGAGGGAAATTCAACCTTATATTAGCGAAATTTAACGAAAAAACAGAAATTAGACCTTATATTGGCGGAATTTAATGAAAATAGGGAAAGTCGGGTTACTGAAAGTGTAAAAGTAGGTTACTGTTATAAGCCAAAGACGGTCCTACCCAAAATGGTATCTCAAAATGTCGGTTAAAGACAGTCCTATCCAATAAAATATTCTAGAATGTCGGTCAACATTTCTTGATCTTGGTTATTGCCTGTTAGCGTGTTCAGCAACTTTTCATCTCGTGTGAACGATATAATAAAACACCAATCCCGCCATTGGACCTCCAGCCATGGCACGATTGCTGTTGCGCATGATGTGAAGGTCTTGTAGAATTCACCTTTCTTATAACTTTATTTCTCTGTAGCAATCGTTGAAGTCCAAAGGAATGCTGCTGCGGGCACTTTTGATGACACAGACGTCAAGGTAGGCAAGTCGCGAAGGTTTGATATGAGTGCTCGATACGATTTCAACTATTTTCTTTGCAAGTGCATGTGCCACACTAGCGACCGGAGTTAATCTCACTCTGGCCGTCCGCGAGTCATCGTTCATCTCGGTGCGCAACAAGCCCTTCAACATTTATTCGTGGACTGTGACTCGCTAATACCTCCCCCCCGTGCAGTGACAGAGTTTCAAGTGTAAACTGTATGGAAGAGGGTCTCTTTTGTCTCCCAGCACCGCTGGGCCTGCGGGTAATTTTGTTAAACGAGAAGGCTAGACGGGCGAGATGAATAATCTAATCGAATGTTTTTATGTAAACTTCTCAGAGCCCCTGATCTTTTCGAATAAATTGTATTGATGTCTTTAACTTGGGGTTTCTCTACGAAAACAAAAATTATGACAAACAAAACTGTGGATCCCGAATCTACATTCAATCTACTTACAATGTGACTCGATACTGTTTCCGCTAGAACGGCATTCGGCTCACCAAATATCAGTATAGCTTATAACGGCTCTTGAATCTTTGGAAGAATTTTTATTGATGCTGTGATTGTTTCGTCCTTCTTGACTAACCTGACTCTTTATCCAGCAGTCACGCGTATGTAAAACCCAGTGATAACAACTATTAAGGCAGTGCAGTACTATTGAACAACCAGTAAAGGATAAACGAAGTACAAACCCCAACAATGGATACACACAGTCAAAAACAAAGGGAGTCGGCCAAATCGCCCGACAGTAGACAAGGGGGTTTTGGGAGAGCATGTGTGTGTTACTGTGAGAGAGTGCGTCCGCTGCTTTTATGAGACTTCAGGTGGCGGTTAATGCGGCATCCTATTACTCTGAAACACCAGCATGCAAAGGGCGGGCGTTTGCGTACAAAGGCAATATGAAAGTGTCAGCGGCGGGAGGTGTTAAAGGGCCCCT